GAGATGAACCACCGACTGCCCCAACGAGTGAGGTTTCATGGTGTAGGAGTAAGTTGGAAAAAAGCTAGCGATGGCCAGATCAAAACATGGCACAAATCCACAAAGTCATTGAAAAGTGGACTGAGCCATGTTGGTAGATGTAGACTACCTGGTTGGGATCCACGAGATGATAGAAACCGATGGTTAGAGACCCTGAATGACATGGCTCGAAATCATCTGCAATTGTGCAGGTGCATCCACTCTTTATGTTCTCCCAAATTCTAATCTTCTAAATTCTTCACGTCCGTTATTCTTTTTCCAAATTATTTCACTGTATTATACTCTTTGAATAACATTTTCAAACACTAGTCTTTGCGATTACTACTTATACTCTTACTACGTCTACGGCTATGGGATTTGAATTGCCTTTGTATCTCTGTGCAAATGTGGTATGTCAACTTGAACTGATGTACTTACGTACGAAATTCTACGTTGTTGATTGACTGAATGAATTATTTGAAAAATCTGTCCATCTTACTAGTTACTAAATTTTTATAATGTTACGAAACATCTGCAGAAGCTACTAACGCGTCTCGGAGTCAATATTCCGTAATTTAACAAAACAATACGTTATATATAAATAATGTACATTGTTGATAAAATGAAAATACAGTCAGTTAGTCAGTCAGCTACAACGTAAGACCAGGCACATATGTGCATCGGTCCATTTCTTAGTTTTAATATACTCAAATAGAGATTTTTAAGGTATAACTATTAATGGGAGTCATTATATGTATATTTTTACGAGAAATTTAGTTGTAAAATAACAGCAATAATGTGATGATAGTTGGCAGAGATTAGCAGGAAACTACTTTTATGGTGTGTGCTACTTATATTGACATAAGTAGTAGATGATGTTAGTCGTGAACAGAAGATCTGGCAGCAGAGAGACAAGAGGATCAAACAGTAAAGAATAGAAACATGATGTAATTTGTGTGAAAATGCAAAAACAATGATGTCTGAGTTATTTGGAGACAATTGATGGACATTTTGCAAATTAACCATTTACTTTATGATTGTTAGATTTTATGAACAAGTCCTGTAATTTTGTGTTGGATACATTCGATTGCCCCCACTAGTGTTCTTGTTCACTACACTTTGACCTAGATTTCATGTTAGCTTAGAATTCTTAGTGAGGCTTATCTACAAACTTGATGTAACTAATTATAAGCGTTTTTATACACTTATTATACGAAAACAAAGCACTTCAAAAATAATCAATCACAATACAAGCACAACTAGGTTATTATTGACTAACAAAACTACAGACAGTTGTCAATTGAATATTCTCACCAGATTTTCATTCGCATTCTGCTGGGTTCACTTTATAAGTATTTGAGTTCTAGTCAGTTCCGTCATACAATTAAATACTGCTGACTTCGAATTCTCTGTTGACGAATTTACTTCGTTACTTATCTAAATCTATAGTCCTATCACATTTTAGAAACACATGGTAATAAGTACTATTCCATCTGCTAATATCCTATACATTCATCGAGATAAAGTGTTTTCTTGCTTATCTGGAGACTAGGAGTAATCTATTCTATGTAAGTAAACAATACTACTAATTTCATTACATCGCTGAAGTCCATTGGAATATTCAAGAGTATTTATGGACAATCGGGTCATATGTCTAGGAATGTTCACCTTCCGAACCTACTAGTTCTAAGCTAAACAAATAAAATTCACTTAGTATTGTTTTGTTTGAATCTTCCCATTGAGGTTTAAGACCGCATTGGTCAATCTCATGTTGGCATATGTACATCCTGTACAGATTGCCTCGATATTGTCTCAATTCACAAGCTTTTTAAGCAAAGATAGATAGTGGCTAGCAATGGAATACAGAACGTGCGTTTCGTCCTACTTAAGACTCATCAGCTGGGTGTACCTGCATCTCAGAATTCATGTTCAAAGTATGAAACTTATAAATTTCTGGCGAATTTCTAAGTATTTTTGTAGCAGAAACATAAGAGATATGTAAATGTGCAGTAACATATATTTGACGTTGAACTGGCAATAGTCTCTTTCTTATTGACATAATTCTGAGTAAGATAGTTATGAGTAGTAGGAGTAGTACAAAAGCTGGCTTAGAGTTAAAGCTACAGAAAATATCATGAATCATATCATAAATCAAAAATATACTAACTAATTCACTCAAAAATAAATGCTCAAGTTTCCTGATTGTCGTTCCTTTCCTTTCTTACAACTGAGTACATCAGAATAATATAATATGAGGGTGTGATCACACACTAACTTATTATGATATTTATTTCACAGATATGAAAGACCGATTTAAGTTGCTAAGGTTAATAGCATTAGAATGTTGTCAAGATGCCAGTGTACCGTGGTAACTAGAGTATAGATCATTACAATGCAATTGACTATGAACTTGATTAATATGTGCGGATCAACTTCTCGACCCATTAAACGAAGAATATCTAAGCTGTTTGCTATTAACCAAATCACGAATTTTCGGGATTTCATAAAAGTAGTCCTTATTTTTTAACAACGATGTGATGTTTGAGTTAATTAACAGTTCCTTTCTACGTCATTCTTCACTTTATTTGAATACAAAATACAGTACCTTTGTTTGTGTTGACTGATTTTCTATGGCTCGAATATTGTTCCATTCATGACTACTCAAGTACAAATTGGATAGTTCCGGTAATTGCTAGTTAGTACATCAAATTCGGCTCCTAATTATCGTATTAGGGTCACGATGGTGTTAGCTTTTGGGTAATTAGATGCTAATTCAAGTGGAAAGTTTTGAAAACCATATGGAGTGATCTGAAATCTGATGTTAGATCAGAAAAAATGTCAAGCATGATAAACTTTCCCCTCATTTCCTTGTAGTCCTTAGTAAATATACATATAACCTACTCAAAAATCTTGATTTCCCGGACGATCTAATTTCACTTCCAGAAAAACCTCTCGAACAATCATTGTTCAACCATCTTCAGTGAACGAATCTGAATGCAGAATGATCTAATTCCCATAAAATAGTGTTTTAAAATAGCCTGAAATTATGTGGCTTCCTAATTGGAACTGTCAAAACAGTGTGAGAATCGAAATTTGAAAATATGCTGTAAATTCAACCTCGTGTTAGTTTGATTGCTGGTACAAACATCCCGAAATTTGAAAGACACTTAATTTAAATACTTAAAATTTCACTTCATGAGATTAAAACGAGTCGTATTAATTTTACGGTAGTGAATGAACTTGACTTTCGGTATGTAAAAATCTCTGATACCTTATTCATTTTTCATAGTGAAAATCTGTTCTTAGGCTCTCTCAAATTCGTGGTTAGTTAGTAAGGATTTTCATTGTCGTGGAAACATAATAACTAATTCAACAAAGAATTTTAAAGAAGCATACAAAAGTGAGCATAATTTTGACAAGCGTTTATCTCGCGATTAAATTTCTCCTCGGAAATCCTATGCAATCTTGTGAAATCTTATGGTGAAGTCCCCAAAATATATGGTGGTTGCACGTTAACATCGACCTCTTGTTTATTGAAGCAAACGCGCACCACGGTTGAGGCTGAAGATATTCTTAATTGACTTCGTGATTCTTAAGCATCCTTGAAAAATGATTTAAAAGATCCTTACCTTGGAATTCCCTTGTATCAATCTTCATTCATTTTAATAACAATTAACACTCCTCTTGATTTATTCAAATAGAACTACATTTCATTTCATTGAAGTTGTCCTCTAGCTATTTCTCAAGGACTAACGAATAACATAGTCGGTAATCCTAAAGGTATGAAGTTTATAAAGATAAACATCATCAGAGACTTATTGTCTCATTAAATCGTCTTCTTGAGCAGAATATTCCTGTATATTCAAATAAGTGTTTATTCTGTGTATCCGTCTTTAAATTTCTTGGATGTTTGTTTGATGACAGTGGTTTATAGCTAGGTCTGAAGCGGAAAAACTCGCTTACAAAGGAACCATCGTCACAATCCGTTACAGAATTAGACTCATTGGTAGGTCCCCTTTAATATTATCCCCGTTTAATTTCCATTCACTTATATTGTGTTTGCTGTCTATCTCAAATTTAAACATACAACTCATTTATATGCAATGTGGGGCAAAAGTTGTGCTAACAAAGTCTCCTAAGTGCTTTTCAGCGTGACGCACTTCTTTGAACTTTTTCTTATGGTATACATTCTTTACTTGTTATTGATTCGTCACCTGTGAATATTGGTGGAGTTTCAAAGCAGGGAGGTAGACCAGTAATCTATGTTTCACGAGAACTTACTGTCGCTAAATAATGTTATTATTATATGTGGCGAGAAGCATTAGTTGTATTTTTGGCTGATAAACAACTTTGCAAACATTTATTTGGAAAGCAATTCACTTTTGTTCCGGGTTATTAAGTTTTAGAAATCATTTATCATCACGAAACATTTTTAGCATGTTCCCCATCCGCCATGGTTTAACGACAGAGTGTTACTGCAAAAGCTTAAAACCAAACCAATTAGCACAAAAGTGCTGAATAAATTCAACACGTAGACTAGCTGTCTAGAAATTCGTCGCAAGATAAACCTATGAATACTTCTGACTTGATCAATACAGTGTTTAACGGTCAGCTATTCAGATCTTAGTGGAGAAACTCGTTCACCATTTAGAGTTCTATTTAATGCTATACAAAAAGATTGGAACGATAATATGAAACATAGATTTCCTGTCTATTTCATCAAGATATTGCACACCTGTGAAAAATGTCATAACTCAAAAAAGCATCCCTCAAAGTAGACCAGATGACCAGTATCATTTGAGGTCTGGGAGAGAATTCATGTAGACTATTATAGTCCATTTCTCGGCAAATATTATGCACTTGTTTTTACTAGTTCCTTTCTTAATTATGACGAATTATTTTTTATAATCTTAGCGAGCACTGACCTCTCAATCCAAGAATTTGAAAAACAGTTCAGTCGGAAAGAGGTTCTTATGATATTAGTGACTAATTGTGATTCTCATATTACTACAAATGAAGTTTCTACCTCGTTGGATGAGATAGGTTGAAAACATTTGTTTGTTGCTCCCAAAGACATTCGTTCTGACGGTTAGAAGGACAATTTCGTCAAGGTGTTAAAAACTGTTGATAACTCCATTACTACCGTAACAATAGATAAACTAATGAAGAGTGTGAACACATTTTTGATGCAAAATAAGGATTCCAAACATTCTCCAACGAGACAGACTGCTCAAAAATTATTGGATGAAGGTATTTATTGTCCGAATATGAGATCTTTTCAGTTTGTGGGGGTAATATGTTATCATGGGAATGACTTTCAACAGTCCACGGAGATTCTGGTGAAGAATGTTTGAATATGGATGGTACGGATTCTAGACACTAAAGATTTAGGAATGCACAACTTACATCTGATGAAGTACACTTTCAGGATTTCGATAGTACGGATTTTATGCTCAATCCGGAAATGGGGAAACACTAGATAAACTCACGGATAAGATACAGAATACATTAAGGAAATCCAGATTTTCAAATTATTTCTGTGCAAAAGTATTATTTGTAATCACTAGAAGTAATAATGATATATGAAATAATCAGGACAGCCATTTCGCAACTACGTAGCACTTTTTTTTACCTTATTAGTGTCCAAAAAATAAATAACTCTTCTTAGTTTAGATTTTTAAGTAGTTTAGTTTGATGGTTGTGTTTGAGTTGGACTTCGTTATTGCCAGATTCTATAGTGATTACCAATTACATTTGACTGGGTGATTAGGCATTATGAAAGGATTTGCAAACGAAAAAAAACATCTGAGTACCGAAGCTAATTCTTGACATGACACGGTAACACGGTGAAATCCTCTACCAGTGTTATTCATGAAAGCAACTAATACTTAGTCATTCAGAGGGAAAGTATGTCGTCACCGTACTAAAAGCTTAAAAAATAGTGCCAGGTATTTATTTTTAATAACGTATCACCGTAGGCTGAAGAAAAATTCCTTAAATGAGAGCTATTTCAACAAACTGATATAAACCTACGTAAAGCTAACGAGTGTCGGTCATCAGTATAGTTCATTAAAAATCACAGCATTTCCTCATATATACACTCGGACCAAGCAAACTTCACTAACTTTTTCAGAATTGTAATCATAACTGCTTTCTGTTTCATCATCATAAGTGCTGAGATCTGTCGTCCAGGAAGTATAAGTATGCCTACTAACTCCAGGATGACAACCTAAAGTGCTAGCTAAATCTGCACTGAACGGCTCCCAATAATCGATGAGATCAGTATTCATTTCAAGTGGGGCTATCAAGAACTTGCATAGTAGTAGTTCCCTGTAAATATCGCTCCTGTTTACGGAAGTGTTGAAAATATTTTTACAAAGAGGTAAGTTACCGCATAAAGTATGGAAGACGTTCCGACTCAGCCCATTTAATAACGCGTTCTCGATCTTCTTCCGAAAGACCCAAACGTGATGACTCTTTGGTATCAAGTTCATGCGAATCCGTGAGGGTAAATTCACCACTTAGTCTATTGTACTGTAACTTAAGCGAAAAAACCTGTTATAAATATACTGTTTATACTGAAAATGTATTTCTAACCGGAAGCGACAGGAAATAATTGAAGTAATTTTCGAAAAGATCATCGGATATTAAACACTCTTCTAAGTCATTAAAATTAGCAAGTAGATCCATCCAGCGACCTTGGTACTATTTGAAACAGTGCTAGTGGTATTAGAAACCAAACTGTAGTTCATTCAAAAGACGTTATGAATCCAATGCATATATTTCGAGATTACATTAATGATAATTCAGTGCTAGATGAGTACCATGTTTATGCTTTAACTAGAACTGTTATCCTATAGTAATTCAAGTATTGGGTTAGGACATCGCGAACTACATCTTTTAGTTTCAGATCAGATTCAGATTTGTATAGTAAGGGCAGAAGGCCTACAGCCTATGTTACTCTTTTCCACTCTGTTCCTGTTAGTGTCTCTTCTCTTTAATGAGTCAACTGAAGGTGCGGACACCACTGCTCTGGGTAACGGGTTCCAAGAATTGATGACTCTGTGAAAACGTTCAAATGGTTCAAAAGGTTGTGGACGGAAAAAAAATTAGCTTTCGATTTACGGGCTTCCGTGTCTATTGGCTGTGGATCACCAGTACCTCCAGACAGGAACCTAGGTATATTAACGATAGTAGAGGAAAAAGAAATTGGTAAATCATGGTAAGATATTATTCATAGCCCTTAGGAATATGTCAAGTTGCTTCTCAGAGGACTCCTGGAAAGTCGCTTGGACTAGCTTAGTCGGAAGCTAATTCCAGCATTTGACAATTCTTAAGGCGTAGAAGTTGTGTCTACAGACCGTTCTGCTGTGTTTTGTCTCTAGTTTCTGGGTGTTACCTCTTAGGTTTGTATTAGAGCTAAACTTAATTAGGTGTTTGAGGGGATGTACAGAAGTGTTAGGGATACTGTAAGCCATTAGGTCTCCTCTAAGACGCCTATACTATAATGGGCAAAGTTTTAGTGATTGGAGGCGCTCTTCATAAGGCTTGAATTATATTCCCTGAACTGGTTTCGTGGCTCGCCGTTGGATATACTCCAGAGTGTCCTTATCCTACTGGAATGAGGGGGAAATACTATGTCTCTGTACTCTAAATGGGAATGAACGAAACTTTTAAAAATTAGGTGGAAAGTTCTACCGTCAAACTGGTCAAAAATGCACTTCAATGTTACCAGTGTAAGGTTTGATCAAAAGGCAGTTTTGTCGCAGTTAGCGTAAGACTTCAAACCGTAGGGTACCAGCGCTCACAAATCTTTTTCAACTTGGGATACTTCTAGAGAGGAATTTCCTAAGTTGCAACTGTAGTCTGCTACATGTCTCAGATGGACTACTTTACACTTTGAAGTGTGAAAGATAAGTCCGTTGTCATCTGCCCAACTCTGAAGTCGGGTATGATCCTTCTAAAGTGCCGGTTTATCCTCTTGGTTGCGTGTCTCTCCAAAGTTTCAAATCATCAGCAAAAAGTAATAAGCCAGATGGTACCTGTTGGGGAAGATCGTTTCTATAAATCAAGAACAGAAGAGGTCCTAGTGCTGAACCCTAGGGGACCCCAATAGGACATTCCATAGCCTGAGAGAAAGTGGAGTTAACCCTGACCTTAAAATGTCGACTTTTGAAGGTATGAAGTGAGCCATTCAATTAGAGATGGTCTGATACCCAATCGTTTGAGCTTAACGATAAGACTTATATGGTTGACCCTACCAAAAGCTTCTGAGAATTCAAGGCAAGCGACGTCAACGTTCCCCTTGCAATCAAGGGTGGTTGTTCACCTGTCCATAGCAGTCAGCCAGTTGGTTATACAAGAGTGACCCATCCTGAAACCATGCATGCCACTGGTATTTTTTCGTCCGCTGATCTGATAGAAGAATAAAGAGAAGATATATCAGGGCCAGAATCATTCCCTAGTATAATATGTGTCGAAATCAGATCGCCTCTTAATCTGAGTTTGGATAGAATAAATAGGTCTGGCTTCTGAAACCGCTCTGTGTATGGCGAATTTCGGATCTATGGAATTGCGTGGGTAACTGCCCTCTTCACTTTTCCAGGATATAAGAGTCACCTTTTAATCAAGGGCTTGCAGCCTGAACGCAGTTTTCAGGTTTAGTTCTCACTAAGGTTGTATATACTATGGTGAACATAACCGTATCTTACTTGGCGAATATCCGTCTTTAAGCCCATAGGGTTCTAAACCACTAAGATGCAACCTAACAGCACTGAGACGTAGTCTCCAAGAGCGATCTATTTTTCGGCACCTAATGAAATGCTTTGCTAAAGTCTATGCAGATTTTCCATTATCTGGAGCCCCTATCCATTACTTTATTTTATAAGGAGGTCTGTTGTGCAAAATACTCCTTTCTTGAAGCCAAATTTATTTCTGTTTAACTAGTTGTCGGTTTCCAGGAGTGTCACTATGGGCTTTTGACTGCTGTTTTTCCGCATTTTATTTACGGCATCGGTGAGGCTGATATGTCTGTAGTTCGCTGGAAGTTGTCTTGGTCCTGTTTTATGTATTGGAGCGACGACTGAATCCTTCCAGTCCGTAGATAACACACCCCGACCAAGTGACATACTGAATATCAGTCAGTGGGGCCGCAATATGTTATGCAATTTGTCTCAAGATTTTGAGTGTAGTCTATCCGGACGTGTTGACTTTTCCGTGTCTAGAGTGCTAAGGGCTCTAAGACATCTACACGAATGCACTATTATTCACTTTTATTGATTTTATCTATTTGACGACTCTACTTAAGGAAGCATACCGTGAGCCAACGAGTATTCTCATTTGTAGATTATACCTGTAAAATGTCATGCATCTGTCCTGGTAGAATTCTATTATTATTATTACATCGTCCCGATCGAAGTTCAGAGTGAACAGATGATTTATCAGCTTTGTATATGAATCTAATTCATCGTCTAGAAGAGGATCCTGAGTGAAAAGTGCTCCTCATAGGCCCCGCTTTATTCCGATCATCCCTTATCAATTTAGGTCCGCTCTCTTCCGTAATTAGGTTGGGGATCCAATGATGCGTCCTTGTTCCGTAATTTATACACGAGACTAGTCTCTTAGGCGGCTTGATTACAGATTGTGCATTTTATATTACCTCTGAGCTTTCTGGATTACAATTATAAGCTTATTTTTCACTGACTTGTAGCATAACATCGTAATTGCTGTGCCAATGCTGAAGGCAACACTCCAACATTTCTTCTTTTGTCTTAGTAAACTGCGAACATCCTGGAACATCCAGGGATGGCCGTGCTGCTTCTCTGGGACTACTCAAGGTATAAATGATTGAGTTATCTGATTGCGTAACTCCCGGCAATGAATGACGTGGTTTAACCTACTGAACTGGAAGAAGATATCTCACTTCTGACGAAATCACTTAGCTGACCGTCTTCACACTTTCGAGACCGAATGAACGGAGTTAGACAGATGGAAGCTGGGCCACATCACCCCAGTCTTCGTTGGGGCTGAAACATCTATCCCTCAAACTACTGGGCGATAGCTATTCTATAAATGCCCTTAAAAGTCATAAAATCGCTGGTTTACGTCAATTCATAAATTTATTTTCGCTTGAACAAGATGACTTTAGGCTGGGTCATTTCTGCACAGAGTATATTTTGAGCATAGTGGACTGATGAAACATTATCCCTAAAATCTTTGACAGGGTCAACCACGAATGTCTTTTAATTACGCCCAAGTTATTAGATAGTCATTCAGCACCGAAAGACAGATAGACCATTCAAGGCTAGTTCAAATCACTCGTTATCTCAGGTTTCAGGATGTCCAAATGATTTCCTAAGGACCTTCTCTCTGTTTAATTTACGTGAGTTACCCCCCCCCAGAAAGTGTTCCCCAATTTATTATTCTCGGGTGGCGATTGAGAACTTTGAAAAGAAGTTTGCAACCAGGATGATCCTGGAGGATTTGACTTAACCGCAAAGTTGGGAAGACAATAATGTGGCTGCGTTCAAATCCTCGAAGTGTATGACACTTCATGTGTGAAACGCCGTAAATCACACACCCAAGTTAAATAGGTCCTCTTTAGAGGACTCTACAACGGAAGAAGTTGAGTATATTGATTATTTATAATCCAAAATCGTATGAAGAATGTGACAAAAATTCTCATAAGTGAAACCATACACTGGTAGCCTTGAAGCACATTTCCATTAGTTTGACAGTGGAAAATTTCAGCTATTTTTTGATAGTTCTATTTCACCCTACTTCGAGTATGTAGACATAATGTCTCCTCTTCCATTCCGAAACAGAAAACTAATGTAGGGCTCTTAGGATGTAAACAACCTGGGGGTGACAAGTTAATGACTTGGAGCATCAAGAATATCTCTAGAAGTCCTGGTTTACTTTGTAGTGGCATTGGACCATAACCACACAATCCTCAAAGTTGAATACGAAATTACTCGGAAAATAGATATTCAATATTTAACGCGGAGAAATACCTAACGATGGAGAAGGCGCGAACAAGGAATTGAATGAATTGAAGTTGGTCGGATGGCATGACTCGGCCATGCAGGCGCGGTCCCTCTGAATATTACCTTATATTTTCTATTCATAATAAATATATTGTTCCTTCTCTAGCCTAACCTTGTTCTACATCATGTATCGGTAGTTGATACGATACAGTGAGTTGGTGTAGTCGATGGTGTGACTTCCACGTAAGATCTTAAAGATTAAGCAGTTATATCATGACAAGTCTACAATTCTAGGATTAGGTCTATTGTTAGAGCAGTACTAATATCATAGTACACCATAATTCTACAACTTATCTATGTCCAGTTCAGAAACAAATGTTGCAGGAAATATCTGGAAACCAGAAACACAGCAGATTGAGCTGGACAGCGGACAATATTTCTACTCCTTCGAGTGTTCAGTTATCTAGGCTCATTTCCGATAACATGGTACAAGCTGATTCGCTGGAGCTCGTCAAAGAGGAACTCCGCCTGTAGCTCTTATAGGGTTGCTGCCGGTCCCAAGCCCGGGTAAAGGAGGAGGGTCGGGCATGGGGTTAGCGTCCCCATCCCGTAGAAAACTAACTCGCTAAAAAAACGCTTACCAGAAAAAATAATCCAAACCATTTTAACTCTGCCCTGGGAGTTAGAAGGTCTTCATTTAGAAGAATTATGACGCTTCATG